CTATCAGCTGCACTTCCAAACTGCCAGCAACCTCAAGAGCCCAACAAGACTGTTCACTGATTCCCAACCTCATCTGTCAGTCTTGGACACTTTTAGTCCGCCCACGCCGCTTTGTAAGGAACACTGCATGGTTTAAGTTTTGAATTTAAAAATTAATCATTGTGGTGTGAATATGAAATAAAGTGGGAAAAAGGAAAAAAAGCAAAATTTGTATAAAATCTTGTCAGATGTCTTCACATTGTGTCAAACCACAGATTGAATAGGATTATTTTATAAACCAATTCTCAAGTATCACTAGTAAATAGCAACTAAACCATAAGAGAAAATATATGTTATATTGATCAGTTCAGTTCAATGTTTATTAAAATTCAAAGAAAATATAAATAACAACAGACATATCTAAACATGACAAGAACTTATATCTCAACCTACCTACATTCCAAAATGTTCTGTAAATTAACAGATTTATTATTATAAATGTGAAAAGAAGTTAAATTGATATATTTGATCTAGCGACTACAATAATGTACTATATATTTTTTTTAAATTTTTGCCTTGGAATAGAATATGAAGTCCAAAATAATGAATGATCCAGTGGAGTCAGAGTATACGCAAAATGTATGAAAGTCAGTGGGGACAGATATTAAATTGAGAAGTGGCTAATTATGCCAAGTTGGTTTGATTAACATATTTTTTCATTGGAAAACTGAAATTCCAATCCTCTTTCAGTGGAAAAAAATCAAGATGACTATTGGGAGAGTGTTCTTAGCCATCAGAACCTAGGTATACTAATTCAATGACTAATGATTTCACCACATTCTATAAAAATGACAATTATAGACACTGTAATATTCATATTCTTTACAGTATGTTGCTAAGCACTGTATTTGCTCTAGTTGTTTTCATATTATAAGTGTCAATTTTTGTTAACTTGATCTTTCTACACCTATCTATCTTTGAGGTGTTTGTAATTATCCTATAGGTGCTATGTTGGAAATCACATTAGCTAACTCAGGACCAGATATCATGAAACATTTGTGTAATCCCAAAAGGAGACTTTGTAACAAGCTACAAGTATGAGGAATAGTAATTTATTTAAATAGAAGGCACAAATGGGGCAAAAAAAAATTGTTAAAGAAATTTAATCTAAAAGGCAAGGAGGGAGATGAGTAAGAATAAGAAGCAGAAGCTATGGTGCTTGGAAAACAATATCCATGTGAAAATTGAATACTATAGGCACTAAGTTCCTTCAAGGAGTCTTGATTTCAACTGTAACCGAAGCACAGATCATAAACCATACATGTTTTTAATCTGACATCTGGAAAGGAAAATGTAACAAATGTGGTTTTCAGATTACAAAGCATTAGGTTATCACCGCACTTTGTTGTAAAGATAGAGAACTAATTTTGAGAATATTTACATACCACTTTTCCTATTGACACACAGAATAAGAAGCTTTAGCCATAGCACATCATTATGAAACTTAATATCTCTTTTGTTTATTAGAAAAAGGCAGAAGTCAAAACTGTGATAATCAGATGATTTTCAGTTATGCTTAGGAATGGTTATAGTAAGCATGATGTTTGTAATATTAATAGGGAGCTGCTGTTGTTCAAATGGATATTGCAACATATTTTTCTTGTCCACTAAAATTTATAATCTATGTTAGACACAGAAAATTTAGTTTACCAACTTACTCTAATTATCTATCTATCTATCTATCTATCTATCTATCTATCTATCTATCTATCCAGATACTGAGCGTCCCAGGTGGCCCTAGTGGTAAAGAACCTGCCTGCAAATACAGGTAGACTTAAGAAACCTGAGTTCAATCCCTGGGTTAGAAAGATTCCCTGGAGGAGGGTATAGCAACTGACTCCAGTATTCTTGCCTGGAGAATCCCATGGTCAGAGGAGCCTGGCAGGCTGCAGTTTATAGGGTCTCACAAAGTCAGATTTGACTGACGTGACTTTGCACACACACATGGTACCCAGGAACCATGCTTTAATTAATNGAAAACTAAGATCATGGCATCTGGTCCCATCACTTCATGGGAAATAGATGGGGAGACAGTGGAAACAGTGTCAGACTTTATTTCTTTGGGCTCCAAAATCACTGCACATGGTGATTGCAGCCATGAAATTAAAAGACGCTTACTCCTTGGAAGGAAAGTTATGACCAACCTAGACAGCATATTAAAAAGCAGAGACATTACTTTGCCAACAAAGGTTTGTGTAGTCAAGACTATGGTTTTTCCAGTGGTCATGTATGGATGTGAGAGTTGGATTATAAAGAAAGCTGAGTGCCAAAGAATTGATGCTTTTGAACTGTAGTGTTGGAGAAGACTCTTGAGAGTCCCTTGCACTGCAAGGTGATCCAACCAGTCTATCCTAAAGGAGATCAGTCCTGGGTGTTCATTGGAAGGACTGATGCTGAAACTGAAACTCCAATACTTTCGCCACCTCATGCGAAGAATTGACTCATTGGAAAATACCTTGATGCTGGAATGGATTGGGGGCAGGAGGAGAAGGGGACGACAGAGGATGAGATGGTTGGATGGCATCACCGACTTGATGGCATGAGTTTGAGTAATATCCGGGAGCTGGTGATGGACAGGGAGGCCTGGCATGCTGCGATTCTTGGGGTTGCAAAGAGTCAGACATAACTGAGCGACTGAACTTTACTGAACTGATGTACATAAAATTTTCCAAAGGGAATCAATCCCTTTTGCTGCATTTTGTAAACAGATTTTAATCTTGGTATCTGACAGGGCAACACAGTTCATCTCCTCAGCACACCACGTATTTGTCACTCTACCCTGTGGATCTTATTTCCTGTGTACTATAGACCAGCATCTGTATCTCCATTTTGAGGTGTATTTATTTATGCACTTTTTGTATCACCAAATGATCCTACATTTGCATTGATCATTTCCTTAGTTTTATATTTCAAAAGCACTAGAAATCGACTGGACAGCTGCAGACACCTAGATTTGTAACCGTATTTCCAATTCTCCTGAGGAACAGCTAGAGCAGTGGCCTAGATGCCAATCTTCCCAAAAGCCCACTTGCTTCAGGTGATTTTCCTTCCTCTTCTCTGAAACCTCTGAGACTGAGTCTTAAAGTTGAATTCTGTTCTTTTTCTGACATGTTCTGACTACATTCACAGAAAGAAACCTTATAACATTTAAATTTTTAAAAATTACCTCTAATGGTAAGACTTTAATTCCCCCTGGATGTCATGCCTCACAATCGTGGTTGTTTCCTGGGAACATCAGCCTGGGCAGGAATTTCCTTCTCCCTCCTTGTCAGGAGGTGAGTCACTCCTTTGTGCTTGAGTTAGTTCAGTTTCTCTACACTAAGTTTAGAAAGACTGTTTTGATTATTTTACAACCCTGACATTCAATTGTGAACCTGACAAACTTATTGCAACCAAAACTATTAAGGATCCAGGAATAAATTGTCATCTTTCTTCTCAGAAGGACGAATAGTGTCACTCTGGAAAAGAAAATTGTTTCTAGTAGACCTATTCAATTTTTCTGAAAGGATGCAATTAAAATGTAGAGCACATATGGGTATTGAACATATTTTACTGTCTTGTGTAAGGAAACAAAAACACAGGTAAATAAAAGTAAAACTTCCTTCAGAATTTTGCAATTCACTAAATAGCACTATAAAATGTCTTTTGTCAAAGAAGATAATAGGTCTGTTTTTGGTTTCAGAACCGTTCTAGAAGGGTAAGTGTCTTAAACTGTCACCAAATGTGGCATCTATCTTATCTATTAATGGTCTTGGGAAGACCATTTTCAGAATGCAGAAGTTTAAAACTGAAATTCACTTCTTGGGGCTAGAGCTTTTAATGGACTGACTGTCACTGATAAGGAAATGATGGAGAGGACAATGTTTCTGTAATCTTATTAGCTGGATATATTGTGTGAAGTTGAAATTCCCAATCTCCAGAATACGTACATATACTACTAGTGAGGAGAGAAGAAAAGCAATTCAAAGTTCTATATTTAACTTTCATTCCTTTGAATACAACATTAAAATAACCATTTCTATGGCACTGTGTTCTCCTTATTTCTTTAGTGGGCAGTAAAGATAAATCTCATATTATTTTAGCATAATATCCTTCCAAAGGAAATCTATTTTGAAATGACATCTCATGTGGTCAGAGAACTTCCTTTCATTCATAGAAAGTTGGTAACTACTCTGTTTTCTTCATTAGAAAGAGACGAGGTAATATATTCAATCAACAATGGCAAAGACATGCACCTCACAAGTATTTGCTTAACATTTTTAATTCTGTGCAAATGTGACATTTAAGAACTATTTTTTTTTAGAGGAAACCAAATAAATTTGTTGACTTTTATTCACAACGCCCATGGAAGATGATTTTCTATCGATAATTTATATTAAACTGTCAATATGTAAAACTGGATCTCAAACTGCAGAAATATCTTCATATGAGTGCAAACTATGTCAGTCATGTAGGATTGGTTGACAGGTACTCAGATGTTTGGCATACTGCAGCTTAACTGACAAAATTTCCCTATAAAACACTGATTTTTGCTTGTTAATGTNATCACTGAAGATGGTCACAGGAGCCATGAAATTAAGACTTTTTCTCCTTGGAAGAAAAATTATGACCAACCTAGACAGCATATCAAAAACAGAGACATTACTTTGCCCACAAATGTTCATACAGTCAAAGCTTTGGTTTTTCCAATAGTCATGTATGGATATGGGAGTTGGATGATAAAGAAAGCTGAGCAATGAAGAATTGGATGTTTTTGAACTGTGGTGTTGAAGAAGACTCTCAAGAGCCACTCGGACTGCAAGGAGATCAAATCAGTCACTCCTAAAGGAAATCAGTCCTGAATATTATTGAAGGGACTGATCCTGAAGCTGAAGCTCAAATACTTTGGCCAACTGAGGCAAAGAGTCAACTCATTAGAAAATACCCTGACGATGGGAAAGATTGAGGGCAGGAGGAGAAGGGTACAACAGAATATGAGATGGTTGGATGACATCACCAAATCAATAGAAATGAGTTTAAACAAACCCCTAGAGATAGTGAAGGACAGGGAAGCCTGGCATGCTGCAGTCATGGGGCTGCAAAGAGTTGGACATGACTGAGGGACTGAACAACCACAATAGGATTAAAGTTTCTTGCTTTTCTACCAACGGCTTTTGGCAGGAAATAAATTTTTCTTTTGATGCTCCCCAAGGCAAAACTGAGATTAAAAATAATTGTCACTTAAATAATTTTAAAAAGCTTTTAAGGACTTTGAAGAAAATTTGTTGTTCAATCACACAGTTGTGTCTGACCCTTTGAGATTTGAATAAAATTGGGTCTGGCAAGTCCAAGGTCCGGTATGTAATGTTTTTTTTTTCTGTTCATTTAGTAAGGAGAAAAGTCCTCACTTACTTGTTTCAGCTCACAAGATATTTTTTGTGTTGTTGTTAACACCAACATTCAAAAATTTAGAGATTTCACTTTAAAATATGAGTTTCTGTCTTTTTCACCAACACTGGAATGTCTGCCAAACCTGGTTCTGAATTCCATGGCAATTCCATGGCAGCGATCCATGGTTGCTGGGTAGCAACTAACATCTTTAGGCAGGCCATGCACCTTGCAATGTTTCCAGCCACCTGGGGACTGCTTCCTCATTATGTTCTCAATCTGGCATAAAAAAATAATTTGAGTAGTTTACAATCTCCTCCCTAATACCACCATTTAGTACTTTTTTTTCCCTTCTCAGTAACTCATTAGGGTCTTGTGAGATGCCCTGAGTCTAAAGCAATGAATTTTTTTTTTTTTTTGGCCAGTAGAAAGAAGGATGGATTAATTTGATTAATTTCCTCTGAATGCTTTGAAGTGAAGCATCAAAGAATCATTGTTTACCTCTTGAAATGCTCAGGTTTGATTCTAGAATAAAGAAAATGTGATTCAAATTTCATTCAAAGGACAATTGCAGAGTGTTGGAACTTCGTGCTTACACGGAGACATATCACAGTCCATTTTATTCTTTTCTTAAAAGACACGTATTTAACATTAATATCATTTACCCCCTGGCATATAACGGTAAAAAAAATTAGTTTTCCTTTCGTTTGATTTTTAAGTGCAGATTTCTAATTAAAATACATTTGCACTATAAAAGAAGCTTTCATCCAAGGAAAATAAAATTTGAAACTGTTTTAGCATACTCAAATTTGTGCTTTCAAAAAGAAAAAAATTCCTTGAATTATTGCATTACAATTAGTTGCTATGAAATAATCTAGTTGATGAAGTTCTGAAAAAAACATTGCAGATTAGCTCTGTATGAATTATGTAAGTAATTTGAAAACAATAAAAATTGTAAATCATATTAAGTTTATGAAATTGTAATTTGTGTCATTTACAACATCATTCAGATTTTTTGGAAAATAATTAGTATTTTGATTCTTCATGTAACTAAAATTTAAAAATGAGGTAAAGTCATGCTCACTTTACAGTCCTTAGTATCTCTCTGTCTTTTTTTCTCTTGCTCTCACAAACACAGCACACACACACAAATGCAATATCTTTTCCAATTAGTCTAAAGATTCTATTACTTACAGGATGTTTTGAAACAGCAAAAAGGAAAAATGAATGCAATAGTGTACTTTCTTAGAGATAGACTGTGGTATACTCACATATACTGCTGGTTAAAATGGAAAATGTTTTCAAATGATACACATGACAGTAATTTTCTATGAGTTTTGATAATGCATGCCTTTTGCCTCTCAGTTCAAGTTTATAGGGGCTTCCCAGGTTGCTCAAGTGGTAAAGAATCTGCTGCCAGTGCCAGAGATGCAGATAGGAGATGCTGGTTCCATCCCTGCGTGAAAAAATCCTTAAAAACAATTCATAACAGTTACCTTTATACATACAACTGTTTATCACAATTCCTGAAAATGAAAACCTGAAAACAGAATTTCAAAACTAAGAAGTAGTAATTTTTTATTTCACAAGGTATATTATTCTATGGTATTAAAATGATCCATATACAATGTATATTAAAAAAAGGCCATCAATTTATTTATGTTAATGTTGTTTAGTTACTGAGTTGTGTCCTACTTTTCTGTGACCTCATGGAATATAGCCCACCAGGCTCCTCTGTCCATGAAATTTCCCAGGCAAGAACACTGGAGTGGTTTGCCATTTCCTTCTCCAAGGGGTCTTCCTGACTCAGGGATCAAACCTGCACCTCCTGCTTGGCAGGGGTATTTTTTATCACTGAGCCAACTAGTAAGCTCTATTTTAATGTTAAATGACCAAAAGTGACAGAAGATTCAAAACCAATTGTGTTTGTGTGTCCTGTGTGAAAACTGACAAGTTGAATATAATATTTATATGAAAAATCAGATAGCCATAGTCAAGATTACCTTATTAAATAGAAAAATGGAGTGATATATATTAATGAATATCACTCTATTTTTTTCAGTTGCTAAATCATGTCTGATTCTTTGAGACCCTATGGACTGCCGCACGCCAGGCACCCCTGTCCTTCACTAACTCCCAGAGTTTACTCAAATTCATATTAGTTGAGTCGATGTTGTTATCCAACCATCTTGTCCACTTTTGCCCCTTTCTCCTCCTTTCCCTCCTCCTCAATCTTTCCCAATATCAGAATCTTTCTCAATGAGTCCCAAATATTGGAGCTTCAACATCAGTCCTTCCAATGAATGTTTAGGGTTGATTTCCTTTAGAATTGAAGGGTTTGATCTCCTTGATGTCCTAGGGACTTACTCTAATACATATTGTGTTATCATCATCTAAATCACAACTTTTGTACATTTACTAATATAAAATTTATGTGTAGGATATACATGCTCTATTAAAGTTTCTTTAAATGTTTTTGAGAGCTTTGATTTTTCCTACTTTACCCTGTTCTGATTCCATATTCTTTTTCCCAGTATTGACCTCATTTTACATTTGTAATCAAAAATAAGATTTTAAATAATAAAGCTAGAGTGAGACTCAGTACATCCTGCAGGCAGTTTCTCAGCAAGTTCTGTGGGACCTCAGTTACTCAGCATCCCAGTGGGTGTCCCAGCCACTTACCTGTGGGGCCAGCACCCACCCACCCACTGTAAATGTAGCTCCCCATGAGTTTTCTCTACAAACAGGAGGCAGTCCTCTGCCAGTGGGCATCCTGCTGTGGCACCTCAATTAACTGCTCTGCTAGAGTCACACACCTCCACGAGTATTTCAGCCTCAAGTCAGGATGGGGAGCTGTGCTTGAGACATGAGAGTGAGGGAGGAATTCTTGCACTGATATCATCACTTAAGAGATAAGACAGCCTTCCTCAGTGATTCATACAAAGAAATAGAGGAAAACAATGGAATGGGAAAGACTAGAGATCTCTTCAAGAAAATTAGAGATATCAAGAGAACATCTCATGCAAAGATGGGCTCAATAAAGGGCAGAAATGGTATGGACTTACCAGAAGCAGAAGATATTAAGAAGAAGTGGCAAGAATACACAGAAGAACTATACAAAAAAGATCTATACAAAAAAGATCTTCATGACCCAGATAACCATGATGGTGTGATCACTCCCCTATAGCCAGACATCCTGGAATCTGAAGTCAAACGGGCCTTAGGAAGCATCACTACAAACAAAGCTAGTGGAGGTGATGGAATTCCAGTTAAGCTATCCCTAATCCTAAAAAATAATGTGAAAGTGCTGCATTCAATATGCCAGTAAATTTTGAAAATTTAGCAGTGGCCACAGGACTGGAAAAGATCAGTTTTTATTCCAATCGAAAAGAAAGGCAATGCCAACAAATGTTCAAACTACCGCACTATTGCACTCATCTCACATGCTAGCCCAAAGTTATGCTCAAAATTCTCCAAACCAGTCTTTGATAGTACTTGAACTGAGAACTTCCAGATATTCAAGCTGGATTTTAAAAAGGCAGAGGAACCAGAGTGCAAATTGCCAACATCCATTGGATCATCAAAAAAGCAAGAGAGTTCTAGAAAAACATCTACTTCTGCTTTATTGACTATGTCAAAGTCTTTGTGTGGATCACAACATACTGTGGAAAATTCTTAAAGAGATTGGAATACCAGACCACCATACCTGCCTCCTAAGAAACTGACATGAAGGTCAAGAAGCAACAGTTATAAATGGAGATGGAAAAACAGACTGGTTCCAAATTGGGAAAGGAGTACATCAAGGATATATAATGTCATCCTGCTTATTTAATTTCTATGCAGAGCACATCTTGTGAAATGCNACACCATGCAAAATACCAGGTTGGATGAATCACAAGCTGGACTCAAGATTACTGGAAGAAATATCAATAATGTCAGATATGCAGATGACACTACTCTAATGGCAGAAGGGGAAGAGTACCTAAAGAGCCTCTTGATGAAGGTAAAAGAGAAGAGTGAAAAATAAGGTTTAAAACTTAACATTCAAAAAACTAAGATCATGGCATCCTGTCCCATCACTACATGGCAAATAGAAAGGGAAAAAGTGGAACCAGTGATAGATTTTCTCTTCTTGGGCTCCAAAATCACTGTTGACGGTGACTGCAATCATGAAATTAGAAGACATCTGCTTCTTGGAAGGAAAACTATGGCAAGTCTAGATAGCATATTAAAAAATGTTCAACAAAAAAAAGACATTATTTGCTTACAAACTTATGGTTTTCCCAGTAGTCATGGACAGAGTTGAGTTGGACCATTAAGAAGGCTGAGTATGGAAGAATTGATGCTTTTGAATTGTGTTTCTGGAGAAGACTCTTGAGAGTCCCTTGGACTGCAAGGAGATCAAACCAGTCAATCCTAACGGAAATCAACCCTAAAAATTCATTGGAAGGACTGATGCTGAAGCTGAAGCTCCAATACTTTGGCCATCTGGTGACTAAAACTGACTCATTGGAAAATACCCTGATGCTGGGAAAGATCGAAGGCAGCAGGAGAAGGGGACAACCAAGGATGAGATAGTTGGATGGCATCATCGACTCAATTGACATGAGTCTGAGCAAACTCTGAGAGCTAGTAAAGGACAGGGAAGCCTGGCGTGCTGTAGTTCATGGGATTGCAAAGAGTCAGACAGGATTGAGCAACTGAACAAAAACAACTATAAAACAAGGATAATTCTTGGACCAAAACACTGCTAGAGCTACATACTAGTGCAAAGCATTACATGTTATTTGCTTATGCACACTGTCTATACAATGTCACTAAAAGATATGAAATCATGGCTTCTATATTTTCCCTGTTCTATTTTTCCACATGGTTTTATCATTTTTTTTTTCTGACTGAGCATGGAATTCTGAATATTGAAAAGATTTTATCAAAAATTATTTAAAAGGGTATTTAGAAATAATCCATTCATGCATCTTCCACTCTCAATAATAATAATAAATATTCTCTCTTCATTTGATTGTAAGAAACAGAATAATGCTTTTAAACTTTTCCTTTCAAATCCAGTCTGTGTGCAAGCTCAAGCTCATATATATTTACAAAATGAAGAGAGATAGGAACTAACCACATTTTCAAAGCAGATATTCTTTTCTGCATGCTTTTTTCTCTGCAAGGATTTAGAGTTAGTACCCATGATCATTAAAAATTTATATATAACACAGCATTCTTATTAAAAAAAATGTTCATACAAAAACCTGCCATTCAACTAGATGACAATTTTATAAGCCACTTCTTTCTTTTCTTGACAGCCTATTTATCCTACTATATAAAATCCTTGAAGGAAGTTTTGCCATAAATGATAGTGTGTTTCACAGGTCATGTTATTTGCAATTTGTCATTCTCCATCTTGCAGGAAATTGTTCATGATGTCAACAACACCTGAGCAATATATTAACATGCTTTGCATGCTTTGTGAATAGATTTTTCTTTTATTTTTGATGACAGTCAAGACAAACTATAAATTGTTCTCATTAGTTACACATTGTTAAAAAAAAAAGATATGCATTAAACTGTATATTTTATTACATTGTGATGTCTCTAATTATTGTGTCTTGCTTGTTTGGTAGAGAAACGTACTTTTGATTATTCATTAACTCATTAAAATATGCATCAATTCTGTCAACATGCTTATATCAAATGCATGATAAATTCAAGAAAAAGTAATTTAGGTAACAGGTGATGAAAACTGTGAGATAGTTTCTACTCTTGTACATCTCAGGAAAAGCAAGAAAAACAAACATAAAATCATGTATTTTAAATGTAAGTGCTTTTGTCTGTGCATATCTGTGCTGCTAGAATCACCTGCTGGCCTCCTTCCTCTATGACCATGCTTGTGGTGTTGACACATGAAGATTCCAGTTCCATTATATTAATACATTCCTCACCTTACAGCCTCAGACAGAAATGGAAGAGGGCAGTTCCTTCACTGGGGGTTATAGCCAGACATGTGACTCAAGCTTAACCAACTGCACATTCACCCTTTCCATATGGCCTTTCAAAGTGGGTCTTTTGGCTCAAGAATTGGGAGTGTTTTGTATTGTTGGGTCATCACTATGGTGACAGCAGTAATTACCCTGGAAGTTCCAGCATGGCAGCTGTGATCCTGGCAGAGGGACTGGTGGTGACATCTCAAATAGAATAAAGCTGCTGTGTGTCCTTCTCCATAAATTCTATTTTCTGGCCTCCATGGACATGTGCCTTGTTATAATTCCAGAACTGCTGTCTCTCATTGGATCCATTTATGTCTGCTTCCAAAGTACTTCCCTCTCCCACCTGCCAAAACACAAACAAACAAACATCTAGGGACAGAAAGAGCAGTTAAAGTGATTTTCATAGCTTAAAATAAAATTTGCTGAACAATAGCTTTCGTCCCCAAAGAGTGAGATTAAGATAAAAAGAATAAAATCCCTTTTCATGTATGTATACTATAACATCCAATGCAATTTGATTTCATGTTTTCTTAAATTTATTTTGTCATTCATTAAAACATGTAATATGACAAGGAACATGAAAAGACTGTATATTGTCACTCGGTTTATTTAACTTATATTCAGAGTACATCATACAAAATGCCAGGCTGGATGTGTTACAAGCTGGAATCAAGATTACTGGGAAAAATATCCACAACATCAGATGATGCTATCAACCTCACATGGTACCAGCAGATGATATCACTTTAATGGCAGAAAGCAAGGAGGAACGAAAGAGCTTCTTGATGAGGGTGAGGAAGTGGAGTGAAAAAGCTGGCTTAAAACTCAACATTCAAAAAACAAAGATCATCCAGTTCCATCACTTCATGGCAAATAGATAAGGAAACAACGGAAACAGTGACAAACTTTATTTTCTTGGGCTCTAAAAATCACTGCACGTGGGGACTGTGCTGTGCTGTGCATAGTCACTCAGTTATGCCCCGCTCGTTTCAACTCTATGGACTGTAGCTCTCTCCCTAATAATGAAAGAATTTATAGCTTCTCACGTTCTTTTCATGTAAAGGTTCAGTATATTTTACATACCTTGTTATGTTTGGTTCTGCAAGTCCTTAATTTCTAAATAAGCATCGCAATATTATTTTTCTTTCAGAATAATTAGAGCTATTTATATGAGTTCTGTACTATAATTTCCTACTGGTTATTGTATTATTAAGCTTATTAATTTCTCAAGTTATTGCACTGAGGCCAGAAACTGTGGTCTTTATCTACTTTCAATGATTGATTAAAGGTTATCTATTGCTTTGAGAACATGAATTTTAAATAGTTTTAAGACATTTGGGAGCTCTTTACATGTTTATCTAGCTTAATTTTAAATTTCAGTATAAATCTATTAACTCAGACTTGTTAGTTATGCTCTTCAAAATCCATATAATTTTTTAATTGTCTATAAACTTTCTTGAAATCATTTTGAGAGGTGAGATAATTGTGGGTCATGAATTTTTCCATTTTAATATTGCTATTGCCCATCCTTCTTTTTTTGGTTATTATTGTTATTTATTTGTTTTCTTTTATTAAGTAAAGAAAGATCTCTTCACCCTTGTGCCAGTCAAAATCTCTTTGGCACATCCAGACTATACCAGAAAGGAATGAATCCCAAGGACATAAACTTATCCCAAGTTTCAGAGAATAGTCATTTTCTCTCCAAGTATTCTTTTTTTAAGTGAAGTATATTTGATTCATGAGATTGTGTTAGTTTCAGGTGTATGGCAAAGTGATTCAGTTATATATTTACATGAATAAATGAATATGTATATTCTTTTTAAATTCTTTTCCATTATAGATTATAAGATATTGAATATGGCTCCCTCCACTATACAGTAAATCCTTGTTGTTTATCTGCTTTATACATGGTGTCTCCAAATATTCACCTAAGTACATAGCTGGCAGCTATGCCCAATCAGTCTCTCTCTGACCCAGAGAAAGGATTTTCCACATTGATATCACCAACAGGTTTGATTCTATTTATGACTATGCATAGTCAATGAAAAATAAAAATGCAGTGCTTTTTATTCAAAAATTCCTCAAAATTTCAAGACAGTAGCAGTAGAGCATTCATTGCATCAAGTGTTTAGTCCTTTCGTCTGGGACATGACTGCCTGCACTGAGTATTTTCCCATAAAGCTGACTGTTCCTGTTTGCAGTGGTAATGTTTCCATCTCCTACCTCAGCCACTTCAAGAGAAATATGAGGGAAAAAATGGGATTTAATTGCTTTTGCAATCAATGATTTTCCATTTTAACATACAATGGAGTAATATCTATGGAGCCAAAGACATTATTGAAGTTCAACAGTCAAAATAAACCTCTAAGGTGTTATATATACTTTTGATTTAATAGTGTATACAGGATTCTTTTTTGAAGCACATCGCCAAACTAAGGAATTTAAACAATTTAAAAGTCAAATTATGTTTGGGAGTAAAAGGATATATTTAAAATGCATACAATTTAACTTTTTTATTTATTTATAATTTTATTCTGATTTTACCCTCAATATTATTTTACAAAGTTTTTTCTTAGTTATATAATTGTTTTAAATTTTAGTAACATGATATTTATTATTGCTATTACTGTGAGGTTTATTTCAAAAACTTTGTTATGTTGATGATGATGACTGGTGATGGGGAACTCAATGCACATTTTCTATGAATTATTTGTATTAAGATTATCTACATGTAAGCATTGATGACTCTGTTAGTTAATGCTAAATTAATTATTTACCATTTGCTCTTTATGTTTTTTCTATTGATATAATTTTATTGATAAATGAATCTGTTGCAATTTCAAAACTAGAAAAAATGTATGGCCATGTCTTCTCAATGTAAGTGTATTACTTAATTTTTAAGTCCAAATGCATCATAATTCAAAGTTAATTGCAAAGACTTTGTGTTAAATTATCCCAACTTATCTTGCTCTTTGTATTTATAAGCTCTTTAACCTTGCATGTATTCAAGATATCACAGTAGCCTTAAAAGCTTATTACAAATGATGGCTTTTTCACTTAGATTAATCTGCTACTATGATACAAAGGGTGTTTTATTAAATATTCATTTTCTTCTATCAGCACTGATATTAGTAATTTAAGTTTGGCCATAGAGTAATCAATTAAAGTAAAATGTGCTGTGTGAACACTAAACCTAACACATTAATTTAATCTATTTTGGCTATTCCTGCTGTCTCACAAATCATTTCTATGGTTACAACACATTTGTCAAGGTTTCTAATAGAAAAATATTCCACAGTGGCAAGGCCTATACTAAATAAACATAAGATTTATGAATAAAAAATAAATTTAAATCTAATTTCTATAAATTGACATTTTTCTAAAATCACAGAATACATACAATAAAACTCAGCTAAATAAAATTTTGCTTATTGTTGTGGAAAATGACTGTGTAAGATTAATCATAGGAGGTACACAAATGATTATATAAGAGCCCAAAATTTAATTAACTCTGTGATAAATCAAGGATAGTGAAAATACAAGCCACATTTTAGACCTGACCTGTAACTGGAATTGTGTCCAAGTATCATCTTTTCCTTTGAGATAAGATTTTTTCTCACATTCTTAGTCAACCCTGAATATTCATTGAAAGGATTATTGCTGAAGCTCCAATACTTTGTCTGCATGCGTGTGTGCTAAATTCTTTGGTCACGTCCAACTCTTTGTGACCCCATGGACTGTAGCCCTCCAGGCTCTTCTGTCCACGGGGATTCTCCAGGCAAGAACACTGGAATGGGTTGCCATGCCCTCCTCCAGGGGATCTCCCGCACACCAAGGATCAAACCTGTGTCTCTTATGTCTCCTGCGTTGACAGGGGGCTTCTTTACCACTAATGCCACTGGGAAGCCCATACTTTGGTCACCTAGTGCAAAGAGATGAATCATTGGAAAAGACTGATGCTGCGAAAGATTGAAGGCAAAAGAAGAGGGTGGCAGAGGATGAGATGGTTAGATAGCATCACTGACTCGATAGACATGAATTTGAGAAAAGTCTGGGAGATAGAGGAGGTCAGAGGAGTCTGGCATGGTACTGTCAGACATGATGGCAAAGTCAAGGCAAAGAGCCTGGCAAAGAGTCAGACATGAGTTAGCAACTGAACAACAACAAATTAAGCAAGTGTCATTATTTCAGTGGGATATAAAGGACAAGAGACTTCACAAACAATATTGTCTGAAATCTTAGGAATCACTATTGCAAATCCTTAAGCTGATAATATAAATATGGTGCTGGTAAATGTACTCATATTGTACGGAATTTAATTTTACCCTGAAAGACATCTGGCTTTTGCCCTTGACTTCAGGAGATTATCTCCTTTGGAATGCTATGCCTGACAGGAGCATTTGACCACAGCAGATTAAGGCTGATGTTGACCAGGATTGAAAGACCAATGATGTGGTTCAGATTAGGGCTTTGGGTTCTAAAATATCACTTGAAATGTAGACTGAGATCAACCAGGGGACAAGCGGAACCTCATCAGTGACTGAATACTGAAGCTGAATGCCTTGTGGGCTGCCCTGGTTCACAATAGCCTGGTTCCCTGAAACCTTAGGGAACTGTCGCATTTGGATACCAGCAAGGCATTACATCCTGATTCCACAGAGAGAGGACTATGGAAGCTCTGCATTTAGTACTTCTCTAAACACTGCTGTATGTGTTTTTTGTTTTTTGTTTTTTTCCTCTCAGCTAATTTTAATCTGTATCCATTCTTTGAGATGAACCATAAGCAGACTCCAGTGAGTTCTGTCCTGGACTTGAAGTTAGTGTCAGAAGGGAGGATAGTCTTGTTTTATTTAGGACTGTGTTCCCTCTAACTTTGCTTAAATGCTTGTGTACTACTCGATGCATTGGTTAAAAATTATATAATATGCTATTTTTTCTGATCCTGGACAAATAAACTTAAATCTGTTAATGTAAAATGATCCATAAAAGATTGAACAAAGAACCATATACCTAAAAACAAGTGGTACAGTAAATGCAACAGATATTTCCAGTGGTTTTAATCTTGCCATCTAAAC